TTCCAAGGGAGGTTTGCGTTGCTTGGAGGCTCGCAATGTATCGTAAATGGTTGACACTATTACTAGGATTGTTGACAATGCATTTTGATGTCGAGTTGCGCTTTTGAATTTGTGGAATACTCATTTATTTATCCGTTGTATTTTGATATGAGTGATAATTTCACATTATTTGATGGTTCAATCTTGGGAATATTATTCTTTTCGTGGGGTTTAGTGCTGCTGGGAGCATTTCCAATGATATTTTATTTCATGGTGTTTCACTTTTAATTTGTGAGTTATATGATTTTTATAGAGTTTAGTAATTGTTTTTTAATGTTTTTCACTTTTTATATATAATGTGATGGTGTCAAGATTTCAAGTGTAATTTTGTTTACAGAATTTAAATAAAGATTGGGTTATTGTTCTGGAGAGGATCTCCATTGGAGATCGAAACGTTGACAAGCAAAATTTGATCTTTTTTTTTACTAATGACCGCCAGGCCTATTAATATAATGTCATAATTACAGCATTATCCCCATAATGAATTGAATTCATGCCCCTTCCGGAGAGTCTTTCGACTCGTCCAGTGTTCATTCTCCTCCTGAGTATTTCGACTCGGGAGAGTTTTCAGAGACAAGTGCGAATCAGCCGGGACACCTCAGAGCCTGGGACGTCGAGAGGCTGATCCGACTAAGGTGGAACTACGTACTTCACGACTACCCACACTCTCGACCACCAGTGACCGCTTCCGTCATCGTGAGCCACCGCCTCCGGGTAGGACTAGACCGGTGGCGTATGGTCGGGCCGACAGGAGGAATTACTCTACTCCAGGCCCACGGGTCCATACGCCCCGAATCTTTCCGCCGAGTGTCGATAACCTCGTGTACAACAAAGTCGTCACTTCGCTTCTCGAAATAACTCTTTTTTACTAGCCGGGGATGCAGGAGCATCCCCCTACGCTCGCCGCCAACGGTTATTCACTGAGTCGACGTGGAGTCCGAAACTCCTTATCATGGCTTCTTCAACCATTCCTCCATCCAGTACACCGAGAGATTTTCCCAACCTCTCGATTCAAGCGCTCGCGTGCGACTCTCTCGGAATCTCACTAGGGCCTTGTCTCCTAGTCTGCATATCTCGGCGACGATAAGTAATTCCGTTACCCTATCCCCATCAATCAACCGGACGGGATCACGAAGGTCCTTCCACCTAGCTACGTTGGTCTAGTGTACCCCACACAGCCTTTAGAATCACCCAGTTGGAACCCCTGTATATCGGGCCATATTCCCCTAAACACAGCTGGGTGAGTGCTAAAATAGCGCGAGTAACAGCGCCCTCCAGACCTTCAGGGGTCGCGGTTTCACCCATAATCACTATGCGTGTGGTCTTTCATTGGTCCGTAGTTCTTCTCATCTAGTCGCGGCGTTCTTCAGCTGCCTCTAGATGTCACTTCCTGCCTCTCTTCTAATGAGTTTAACAGTTCTCTTTCCTATTTAAGGAGATTTCAACCCTTAACGAGAAAATCTCATTACGATCCATTCTATTAATTTGATATGCAAACGTGTTCAAAAAATATTGAAAATACCTTCACAAACAGGGGTTTTAGGGTCGATATTTTGAGTGTCAGCGTCGTCGAACTCGTCATTAGTCTCGGGTCTTGAACACTGACGCGTTGTATTGTCCTCCCACTTCTTATGAATTAAATGATTACGTATATTTAAAACTGTTTGTCAGGCGCAGTTATACGCCTCAACGTCCCTCTTGTTTTTCATGGCATAGAGATAACACATAGTCTTTTCTTCATTCCGCAGACATGTATTGTTTTTAAAATCCATCTCTGTACCCAAATTTATGGTCTCTCGTGCAGATAAGATCTGGAGATATATAGCTTCTTCACCACTAATAGTGAAAATATCGCGAGCATTTCTGCACAGCTCTCTAATATTATGTGAAGCATCCCGCACTTCTGTATCCCCATCATGCTACTCCATTCCGTGATTGTTGGTTGTGAGTCTATTGTTCGTCTCACGCCAGCAGGTAGAAAGGTCCAAGTACGGGTAAGGTGCATTCAAATTCCAGTGCGAAAGAAATACTCCCTCAGTATCCGCAACAGTAATTTCTCTTGGCAAGAATTTCCCATTTTTTCCACGGAAACCTTGGATAACGACAGCGACATCCATGTTGATACGATCACCACAAGAGACTTTTTTATAATGAAGAAGCCGACAGGTGGATAAAGTAATATATCTGACGACGGTGACGGGGGGAAATCAGGGTAGGGGAAATATATCAGTATCATTTTAATGTTTCATTTTAATTTATTCTTCATTCACAGCGAAAAAGTTACAGATTTTTGCGCTTCGGAAGCTACGCGTTTCTATTTTTTTCTGCCTCAACTGCCAAGCGTACTTCTTCAACAATTTCGCTGGAGTATAATATAACAATTTTTCCAAAGAATCAATAAGATTTTCAAGATTTACATTTTTATGGGCAAGATTGTGACAAGTCATATCAAACAACTGTTCAAAATATTTGAAAATGGTTTTTATTATAATATCATGTGACAACTACTTTTTTTTATTACACTCCATGATTTCCATCGACGAAAAAGTACTCAAGCTATCCACAGCACCTTGCTTATACGTCTCTCCAGGCATATTCTTCATATACTGCATAAGTTGAGTAATCCAGGTTCTCCGCCATGGTACAGAGCATATCGTGCTATCCAATAGATATCCGACTTGGCCCCACGATGAGAGGTGACGATTGGTCTATATAGAGGATTGCTCTATAGCCGGAACTTGAACGGGTGAAACCAATTCTTTTACCTGGACCACAGGATATCGATGCGAATTTTTCATCGTCTTCCGGTGATTCAGACTCATCAGCGAAATATTCAAGCATGAGTGGAATATGTTCAGCTATGCTGTGCCATTCTGAAGGGGTCAGTGTGATCACTGTTCGGGGAAATGTTGCAATTATCCGCACCACGGGCGTGAGAGTACCCTTTTCAGTCCACAATAAACCGGTGGTCACTTGTTTTGTATTGTACTTTATTGATCGCCAAAGTATCCTCAAGTAATAAAGGTTGATCCGTGAAAGTCCCCGCCAGTTCAGTCGTTCCAACATTCTGCTTCTTCACCACGGGAGGCTTGTTTTCTTTGTTTACAGAGGTGTCCTCTGCATTAGATTTACGTTTGGCTCCGACACTTTGCGAGGAGAAACCTTCCAATTTCCCCTCAAACAATGGTAACTCTTGAAGAGGTTTATAATACCCCAGAGATATGGTATCCATAGGGTTAACACACGCGTTATCGTCAATCACGGTTGATATGTCTGTTTGGAACATGGTGAGACTAATGTATATGAATATCACGCCATCAGTACTGGCTTTTTATACTCACATACGGTCGCGTCGAGTGGGAGGGGAGTGCATGCGTATCCGTATTAACATTAGTGCACATGTGTTACACATATACGGATTAAATTCTAAGTATTTTTTCATATCAATTTTTGGTCTTTTAATCATTTATTGACATTACTACCATCTAGACATGCAGATGGTGTAACTTATCCACCGGATGTATTGGTATTATTCTATTATCCGCTCTCCCACAGTGGATGTTTACTGTGTTTCCCAAATTAGGACCCGAGACAATTTTTCTGGAAACGGTTGACATGAATGTTTCATATTCAAATTTCTTAAAAATGTATCGATAGGTATTTTCTATTCTGGGAATTTAAGAGGTTAGGTGAAAACTTCACATGTGAGTTCAATTTTTCACCTGATACGAGTTAGACCGATTTTATCATGTCATACGTTAACCGTTTCACTAACGATCTTGAAAGTGCGAAACAGGTCTTCTATCGCTACCTGCCTTTCCGCAGGAAGACCCGTGGAGTTTGTGAGAAGCTGAAACTGTGTTATGAATCCGAATTTTGTTTTTGCATGGTGCCAACTCGAAAGATTATTGGACTAGAATATACTCTCCTTTCGGGCGTGGGACTGCATATATTCCGAGGCCATATCCTGTGATAGAAGCGTCTTATCATCGCGATTATACTGACATGTACACATTCAAAGAGTCAGGGTGCAGAAAAATGGGCCACTAATCTCCGCACGCCGCCGAGCCTTGGTCTGGGCATCCGTACTGACCCACATCCCTTTCGAACCGACTCCAAAGGTGTTGCATATTCTCGTTGAATGTGCAAAGCATCATACAAGATTGATGGGAAGTGTGGGCCGACGATGTTGCACTCATAATGAGTACTATTCTGTTCAAGAAATCGTAAACAGTCAACATACTCAATGCAACAGACCTGGTTTCATGGCGCCTGTGGTGTTTGCTGTCTTTTGGGATCGTAATAGGGTGAGACAATAGAAAAGTGAAACGTCGTCCTTCTATCAAACTATGCTGTAATTTTGGGGCTACAGGAAAAATAGGCAGTTTCCGTTTAGATACCCCTTCTCTCTAACACCTTTGCATAATTTAACTGTCTTTCACGAAATATGTAGCGGCAGAGTCAGGACACTTCTGTTTCACCTTCTACACCGAGCAGTCGAAGACACCGTAGCCAGTGATGGACGCCTACCGCATCAACTTGTTTTTCGGTAAATATTAAAACTTTTGTACCCATGACGTTTATTATTAATTGACGTGTTTTATTTATTTATTATTTTTTAATTCGATTTAATTTATCTATTTCGGATGCAACAGCTGAGGCGTGCGAGGCTGAGTTTGCGCTCATTGTGCAGGCCGGAGAGACACTGGGCCTGTGTATGTTTTTTTTTGTGTTAAGTTTCTTTTGCTTTGAGTATTTTTTTTGCATTGAGTATTTTTTTGCGTTGAGTGTATGTGTGTGTATGTGTGTGAAAAGTGCGGTGTTTCTATTCATTTTTTATTTTTGTTGCAGTCCTCCCGCTAGCGTTCGAGTACTGGACGACCAGCGAGAGAAACGCCGTCGTCGACGCTCGCTCCAGGCGCGCGAGGAGTCACCTCAGGGCTGCGACGTGGGTGCGGGCAATGGCGGGGCATGTGCTACAGACTCACATGATGGAGATGCTGGCGCGGGACCCGGTTCTAGTTCGGGGTCAGCCTGTGTGGCAGCCGGACGGAGCTCCGCTGTCTCCGCCGCCTGAGCCGGAGAAGGCGGCAGTCCCATGGCCTATGCCCCTGGAATAGGCCCCCAGGGACAAGCCGCGGCCTGAGGTGGTCGAAGAACCACCGGAGGAACAGGGTATCCTCCTCCCGGAACCTCCCACTTCACCGCCTCTGGAGGAGCAGGGGGAGCTCCCCCGAGACACGCCGGACTCGCCGCCCCTCGAGGAACAGGGTGCCCTCCTCCCTGAGCCTTCCAGCTCACCAACCCTCGCGGAACAGGGTGCCGTCCTCCCGGAGCCCCCCACCTCGCCGCCCCTCGGGGAACAGGGCGATCTCCCCCGAGATACGCCACAATCACCGCCTCTGAAGAGCAGGGGGAGATCCCCCGGGACACGCCGGACTTACCGCCTTTGGAGGAGCAGAGCTGCCTCCCTCTGTCTTCTCCGGTAGCCCCACAGCAACTAGAGCTGCACTCGCCGTCCCGGCCGACCGACGTCGAGAGTCCTGCGAACACCTCATGTAAGTTTGAATGTTTTTTTACAATTCTCCCATTTTCAGGTCCATTCTGCATTCATTGTTACTATTTCAATTATTGCTTTTTTTTTATTTCAGGGGATCCGTGTTTACCCGCACACTCCCAGTCTCCGGCGAGTCCGGAGTATATGGACGAGTTTGCCGACAGCCCGGGCGAGGTATTCGAGGGGTCCGACGATAGCGACCACAGGGCCAATACGGACAGCGGCAACAGCACAGAGAACGAGACAGGGGACGACACCGAGCCGCAGAGCGAGCCACTCCTCACGGAGACTCCGTCGACGAGGAGCACCCGATCGACCGATCGGCAGGATCTGAACGCCATGTGCAGGGAGCTCTGCGAGCTCAGATGCCATCTCCCTGTCCAGTTGACCAGAACTGCTGCCCCTCACAGCCAGCTTCGCCCGGTTAGCACAGCGGCCCTCCACCAGTAGCACGTGCCCAGCGGATCGTCCCGGACAATACAGTCATCCTGTCATCGATATCAGTATCTATGACGAAGAGACCGCTTTGCCAGGGCCATCGTTGAACCGACAGCACTGCGAGGTGGAGGGCCCGTCTGTTAAACGGGCGAAGACGGAACCCGAGGTGGTTGATCTCGTTTCCAACTCGGACGACGAGGAGGGTTCCTCGATGAGGGTCATGCGGTGGGGGCCCTTACTATCAACACTGCAATCGGGGGCCCTACTCACCGAATGTCCTCCTCGGGTTAGAATCGCCACTGTATGGCCTTACGCGGCGGTAGAGACCGAGAGACAGTGGCGACGAGAGGAGACGGACTCTTCGTCAGAGTCGGAGTGGGAGAGACTCCCTGGACCCGCTCCCGGGTTTGGCAATATGCCAACCCCTTTTTGAACGCATGGGTCGCAGAGCGGATCCTGAGGAACCGCCGTCAGAGGGCCAGGCGAGAGGAGAGAAGAAGGTGTGAGGAGTAATCTTCTCAGTGTAAATATGTATGTGTGTATATTTAAAAATTATATTTGTATGTTGTGTGTGGATATATTGTATTTGTATGCACGTGTTTGTATATATTTACTTTTAAGTGTATATACTTATTTTATGTAAAAAGATTTGTATATAGTTTTGTGCAGTTTTGGAAATATTAAATAAGTGACCCCATATATATACTCCTCCCATTATAATGAATAAACGAAATTTCTTTAAAAACTGACTTCCCTTTTTTCAAAACACCTCTTCATAACACCACGTACCTGCAGTCAGGTAACTTTTTGTGTTTCTCTTTTTTTTTGTTTTGTTATCTCGTGGTCTTGTCGTTTTATCATTTTGCCGTTCCGTCGTTCTCTCGTTTTCTCGTTTCCGCGTTTCCTCGTTTTCTCGTTTCCTCGTATCATCGTTTCTTCTCGCTTTTACTGCGCGATGGATGTTGCTGTAGGGGACACTACGTCAAGAATGAGAGAGGACGGTGGCGCTGCTATGGTGGAAATGGGCAACGCAGATGATCTAGTTTTTACGTATCTAGGGAGTTTTTTATATTTTTAGTTTGCTGTGACGTTTATATTTTATATTTTATTCCTTATTGGTTCAAATGAAGATTTTGAAAACCAATAAGAACGTTTCGCTCTCACCTCACTGCTAATAGAACAACGAGAGGAACCAAGATGAAGTTTGTATCCAATATGTCTTCACCGTGTTCTGATCTTGTCTTTCCGCACATATCGTTAAAAACCAAATCCCTAGCGGAAATAATTCAGATGCGCTCACCGTTTCACATCTGTGTACAACTCGTGGAGTGGGCAAATGTATTTTCAGAGATGGAAATGGATTTAAGCAAAAAATATCTCATTGACAAAAAAGGTCAAACAATAGCTGAAGTAAAAGTAAAAACACTGTGCGTTTTGAATTTTCTCGGTGGGGCCGCTGTACGAGGCGTCATCACATCTTGTGATTTGAGCATATTACAAATTCACCTGTTTGATTTATGCGAAGCTGTTTATATACACAAACGTCATGTATTTTCCTTAAAAGAAGAAGATTTGCGAGAGTTACCGCCGTTATTGTTTCGACGCAATTTAATTGACTGCCAGCCCCCGTCCGAAATTGGTTGGGACTGTAATAATATCTCTAATATGAACGAGTTGGTGGTCGGAAAATTATGTCTCATTAGCATAATTCAAAGCATAGATGTTTGCTCTGCATTCGTGACAATGAATTTCATGGAAACAAGGGGCGACCTCAACGGATACATATTTGCTTCTGGTATTGGTATCCCCACGTCACGATCCCCATGCATGATGCTACGCAGAGCGGGTTAGAAAAGAAAATAAACCGCCGCTAAATATTGAGCATTTTATGGAGAATGCATCATTCGATAATACAGATGGCTAGTGGAAACGAACGTCAAAACGGTAGTACCTACTCCGATCGGCCTGAGGAAAAGTCCGACAAGGACAGACAAGAGGCGGTAACACTACTCCCTGCAATAACGAATCCAGCCGTTGTCAAGGGTTCCGATGAGCATAACAGTTCTTTATATTTGTCAATTAAATCATAAATTAATATTGAGTTGTATTGCTTATAGACGCATCAAGATCAGGACAACAAAGTGGTACGGGCACGGTTCCACTGAAAATTGATGGTGAGTGAATTGTGTTCATTTTAATTATTCCTTCCCTGACCTATATTTTCAATGCACGACAAAATGAGGCACAGGTTCAGTACGATCCTCAGCCAGGACCCCGTGGAATAGATGAAACACCACAGGCAATCGAACCCGAGCTATTCACTAACCCACCACTAGTTGGAGGAGCTAGACTGCATAAGATAAGTGATAACATCTAAGAATTAAAACGATTCAAATCACTCAAGCGTGAAATTGTATTCAATATATCGAAACCACGCAAAGACGTGTCTGACATTACTTGGATAAACTCGCTCGCTGAAGAAATTTTATAAATAATTAGACAGCGCGCCGATCACGACGATGCTTGCGGCCCCCAATTCAGGTACACGCATGCAGAAGTGGAGCCAATGCGCAAGCCAAGTTATCTGACACCGGGGCCGATATCTCTTATAAAAATCGAGGATATCGTAAAATTGCTTATACGCCTCTCGCAAAGTGGCACAGAAATTCCTGTAGATAGTAAATTCTTCATTAATCTGCATTTTACTGATAATATGATTAGCGCCAGACGAAATCGAATTACAGCTGAAGGAAAATTTCGAGGGGTTCTCCAAATTACCAACAAGGATAATATGTGTTTGGCAAGAACGATCGTCGCGGCAAAAGCATATTCTCTGAAAAAAGCTAGTACTCTACTCTTTGAAGAATGCAATGTGATCCGTAAAGAAGGAACGACACAAACCTGCAAAGCTAGTGCTATGGTTACAGCCTCGAGAGTGAAATCAATTCGAAATGCTTGTAGTATTGATGAAATCAAGGTGTATCAACGATTTCTTATTGCAGAAAAAATGTAGAAAAGTTAGAAAACCCTGTCGTAATGTATGACGGTCGCGTAGCATTTGACGGCAGATCCGATTGTTTTGTTTTGGATGTCGGTTATTTCCCTCGCGATAAGCATTATCAACCTATCATAAATATTAAAAATTTATTTTATGTCGCGCCGTACAATAAGTCGAGTTTTGAGCAGGCTGCGCGAAGCACGACTTGACATAAAATATGATAGAGCACTCGGTAATAAATTTCGTTTCCAACGAATGTGTGTACAGACCTCGCCTTCGGCTCGGCCTGTAAACTACAGATTCGTTGAAAACGAAATTTGTGCCCTTGTACTCTAATGTACTATTATAAAACTCAATATTTTTGTCACGCCTGTAATGCCGCATATCAAATCCAGCATAGTGACAAATGTCAGAACATATGTAAAAGATGTTATAAAAGTCCTGCTTGCAACTCTCATGCTCGGTGCAGGTCATGTGATCTCTGCAATCGCCATTTCGATGGGGACAATTGTTTCAACAATCATACTGCACTTGGCCCTCGGAATGGGGCCTCACTTTGTCAACGTAAACGGTACTGTGGTAACTGTGGTCAGCGTACTCGTATGATTGTGCCACACGACTGCAACAAATCACATTGTTCCGTCTGTGAGAAACTCCAACCGCGTGGACATTATTGCTATATAGCCAAAATGATAACAAAACCTTCAAAAACAAAAAAGTATAATTTTTTCTTATACTACTATTTCAAGGCCCGACAAGATGAAGACTTGACGAAAAATAATTGTCCGACTAGGGAAAAAATACACATTCAAAATCTTTGTATTGCACAGATCGTATGTGAATGCTGTTGTGATACACAGATGGATGAATGTACCGTTTGCGAAACAGGGAGAAAATTTTTACTGAAGAATCCGGTAGTGTTATAGAACAATTTTTGGTATATTTTGAACAAATTTCAGTATCAAAAAATAATTTAAACCTCATATGCACAGCTCATAATTCACAAGGTTATGATGCACAATTCATCTTACAATATACACGGGGCACACGGCAACGCAAGGGACACGGGGGTTATGATGCACTACAGTATGAATTTGTACCACGCATACATCCTATCATCAACGGCACTAAAATTATTGCGCTCCAGGTTGGAGAAAAAATTAATTTTATCGATAGTTTAACCTTTTTCCACATGCCGCTTTCAGCTCTTCCCAGAACATTTGAAATACCCAATCTCTTGAAAGGTAAATTCCCACACCTTTTCAATACTCGTGAGAATTGGAATTATATCGGTGATTTACCTGCAAAAGAGAATTGGTCACCGCAAACTATGAAAAAGAAGGAACGTGAAAAGTTTAACCAATGGTATGAGGAAGAACTGAAGGCCAAGAAAGTATATAATTTCAGAGATGAAATTATCAAATATTGCAGGGATGATGTAACGATTTTGAGAGAGGCGTGTACCGCATTTAGGAATTTAAATAAAAGTATTTCTGGTATTTGTCCGGGTTCCGAATGCAATACAGTCGGTATCATTCGGCGCTGAGGGTATCGTTTTTGTAGAAACCAATCGAAAGCGGCGATTGAGTAACTCATGTGGGTAGAACATACGAGGAATATTAATATTACTCATGCTGGCAAGACTCGTAAATCCAAAATACCGGGGATACACCACGAAGTCGACGGGTATTACAAAGACCCGGATGGCAGGAAGTTTGTATTTCAGTTTCAGGGATGCTACTGGCATCAGTGCCCCGTATGTTACGCCACACTACGAGAGAAAAAAATCCACAAATGTGATTCTCTTCAAGAACGGTATGAACGGACATTCGCTATCAATTTATTAATCCGGCGTCTTGGTTACACACTCGAAGAAATTTGGGAGTGTCATTTTAAAGATTTGAAGCGCGATAATCCTGGATTGCGCGACTTTGCGGAGCGCGATGAAGTATGCGTGCACGTTCCATTAAACCCTCGAGAAGCATTTTTCGGCGGGAGAATAGGGAATATAGTTTCTCATTATAATTGTAAACCTGGCGAAAAAATTAATTATTGTGATGTCTGTTCCTTATATTCTTTTGTTTGTAAAACCGGTGTTTTCCCTGTAGGGCATCCTGATATCATTATCGGAGTATCGGAAATTGAAAAAGTCTGTGGCCCTAATAATGATATCTCCAGTGTTGAAAGCCTAATTAAATGTATAATTTTCACCCCCGACTGAACTTTTTCATCCTGTTCTTCCAATGAAAGCAAACGGTAAACTCATGTTTTCGTTGTGTAGGAAATGTTGTCAAGAGATGAGTAATGGTGAATGCACACACAGTAATTCTGAGCGCGCTCTAGTCGGATCATGGGTATCATCCGAATTGAAAAAAGCTGTATCTCTAGGTTATAAAATTATTGCAATAAATGAAATATGGATGTATAAAACAACGCAGTATAATCAGAATACATACAAGGGAGGAATTTTTGCAGGATTTATCAATAAATTCGTAGAGATAAAGACTTATGCGAGCGGATGGCCGCAATCGTGTGATACCGCTGAATCGAGGGCCGCGTTTATCCAGGAAATTCATAATAAAATAGGCATTTAACTCGACCCACAAAAAATAGAATTTAACGTAGGTAAAAGGGCAGTCGTAAAACTTATGCTCAATTTACTGTGGGGTAAATTTGCTCAACGACAAAATTTAAGAAAAACAGAAGTCGTAAAAACTTATGAAGAGTTGCACTCATTCCTCTTTGACCCTCGGAAGGAAGTCACGGGCTGTTTTCTTGAACAACGAACAGGGAAATCCATTAGATAAGATGTATCTAAACTGACGATTTGTCGAAGAGGATTCTGAAATGTCAGCAAATGGTAATACGTTATTGCTGCATATGTGACTGCCCAAGCTAGGTTAGAATTGTATAAATATTTAGAGACGTTAGGTGAGCGAGTTTTATACTATGACACCGACTCTGTTCTTTTCGTCACTAGGGAAGGTGACTCTAATTCCCCTTCGGGCAATGCGCTCGGCGAAATGACCGATGAACTGGCCTGCTGCGGAACTGGAAGCTACATCACTTCGTTCCTATGTGGCGGGTCCAAGTTTTATAGTTATATCAGTGTAACACCTCAAGGGACAGAATTTGAATGCAGTAAGCTAAAGGGTATAAAAATTGACTCTCGAACATCCAAGCAAGTCAATTATCGTGCTATGCGTAGACTTGTTGTAGACAACGAAGACCTGTTTAGAGTCAATACAACAGGTATACGTAAATCAGCACAATATCAGGTAGTCACCCGTCCTGAGGAGAAAATAGTCAGAGTCACCGCAGCGAAACATAAACGGGTCGGTAGTTCATCAGTGCCTTATGGGTATCGGCCGGTAAAACGAATATGCATTACGTGATAAGTTTGTAAAATAATAATAAAATAGAATAATAGTACAATAATAATAATTTTGTACGCTAAAATTTGTATATAGTTGATATAAAAGTATTTCTTGTAAATAAACTTTGTATATAATTGATATGGAAGTATTTATTTAAATGCCCCATTCCTATCCTTTCAGTTGATATCATGGATCCACGTTGGAAACATTAGTTCACAGTTATTGTGTGTGGACCCACCGGTTGTGGGAAGACGGTGTTTGTCAAACGTTTTTTGCGTAACATGAATGGAATGTGTGACATGCAATTTTCCAAAGTTATTTTCTATTATACAGAGTGGCAGCCAAGGTATAATGATTACGATAAAAACTTTATATAATTTCTTGAAGGATTACCTGCTTCGTCCGATTTTGCGAGTGATACGTCCAGAATAGCGCTAAACTCGTTATTCTGGACAACCTTATGCGCGTTAAGCTTCCAATAGCGGGGGTGCTGTTGTCGATCTTTTTACAAAATGGAGTCATCATCAAAATTTAAGCATTATTTTCATATCCCAAAATTTATTTCACCAGGGGAAAGGACAGAGACATTTTTCTCAATAGTAATCGACATACGCGGTAGCGTATCGGCCAAGAAAAGTTTCGACCGACTGAGCAAAACATCAGGCCGAGCGCACCGCGTATCTATACACGACAAAACTTCCCCCTCCACTACCTCTAAATGATTTACATTCGGTATAATGAAAACGGGACGTCAAATCGGGAAAGTGTCGTTAGTTACGTTATATAAATCGCCTATGAGCTTTTCAACGGTGTATCTATGGTATTTTTTGGATTAACAATAAAAAAGATACGCGCATAGAAACGAGTTGATATTCTTGCGATTCACATTATAAAGTCGGAGAATAAAGTTGTAACTTTGGCAGCGCCGGTCCAACTAAGCCTCATGTACAACGTTGAAGTGTTGCCACCAGTGCATTCGAATGTGGGTTGTGATGTTGCTATGGAGAACAACGGAAAATGTTCTTCTTCACGTTAAATCACTTATTAGAATGAAACAGAAAATCGACTCGATGTTCTATTTTGTTTTCTCTCGTCGAAAATTCGAATTTCATCCCGCCATATCTATATTCATATGCAGACCTTGGATATAAAGGTAGTTTGTGCACTGTTTGTGAGGTTATCGGTTTATTTGGAATGTGGCAAAAGTAAGATGTGTCGAAAATATTGTGTGATCAAATATTAAATGTCCGTGAATAGTGAAATTCGAAAAAAAAAAATTTATTTTTTTCCGAGTGTAACAGAAAATGTTTTCATTCCGTGGAAAAAAATTCTCTAAATTAAGTGAGAGTGAAATGCGAACAATTTTGTGTTTATTTAGGAAAACTTACAATTAGTAGGAGATGGTGCCATTAAATGGACACTTTGAACCCTTTTCAAAATGTTGATGTCTTATTGAAGTGTTGATGAAATAGAACTTTTTTTTTCAATTAAAGTACAGTCAGCTTCTTTGTAATAAGCTTAGACTGAGCTCAATCGATATATTCGTTCCTTGGTTATAAATATTGAAACAAGAATTCGGAAGCGTCCATTCCACCTAATGTTTCCCTAATATTTTTAAAAACAAAAAAAATAAGAACAGATGTTTTCAAAATAATTCTTTGTGAACATTTTGTTCGACTATTCCTATAAGGAAATGAATTCATCTCTCCAAGAAATACAATCCACATAGGAATCATCAGAGCAAAAATTGAATGAAAAATTCTTTTCAAGGTGAAGTCTCGTCTGAGTCTCGTACGCAGCCCCATATTTCATGAAGAATTTCTTTAGAATACTTATTCAATTGAGAACTATTTTTCTTATAGAAACCTGATCGTGCACTATCACCATTTATTCGAAATTCCTGACTTGGCTTCCTTTTTTATTTGTTTATATTGTACTGTTCAAAAATCCACGTGATCGTGCTCAGGTTGCTCATTTAGCTCGACAAGTTTACCCTGAAAATCCCAAGTTTTTGCAAGAAGCATATTTTGATGCTACATCGAAACCATACGGTTATGTATTATTAGACTTGAAACAATCCACTCCCGATAACTGTAGATTCCGCACTAATGTGTTTCCTACGGATTCTCACAAAATTGTATATGTCTCCCGTTCAATGTGTGATATAATTACTAAAGCTATCGATACAATTTTTTCAAGCCATGATTCATTTCATTACGATAATAATTTTTGGACTGATCGTCGAAAAATAATTTTTTTTTCAATGCCAATATTTCGAAAACTCTATATATAATTGAACTCTAACGAGTGTTTATGGGTATAGAAAAAAATCATGAAATTCCATTGAGCCTCTACAGAGAAAATGGCAAATGAAAAAATTGAAAATCAGTACACACACATACATACATAGATACAGACACCATCTCCTCCGACCAACTGCCACCTTGCCGCGGTGGAGGGGCTTAAAGAGTGGATGTACCACTCCACTCTACTAAGAGTAATTGAAGCCCCCCCAATGTTAAGGTGTTCACCGCCCTGATCTCTGGAAGGCGCCAGGGGTAGTTGGCGTTGCAAACGGTGGTCCCTAGGGCACCAGGTCCCACCCCAGCTGTATTAAATGGCCTAGTCTCAGCAACCGGGGCTCTGCTGAGGTGGTCTGTCATTTCCCTAGGTACTCGTGGGATAAACATGAAGAATCAAACAAACAAATTACAAGAAGCAGAAGCAGGGGCAGCAGATGAGAGAAGTCAGGCGTGGGATAGACTTGCAAGGCTTATCAACTACCTTTATGAGTTCGTTCAACCTAGAGTGAACGTTCACAAGGAGATAAAATCGAAGCTGACTAGCATCAATAGTGCCTTCAGAAGATGGAGAGCTTTGGAAGGTTCTCGACAGGGAGCGGAACAGCCCTCTCCTCAAGCAAAAACGAGCAACAGACTACAACGAAGGACTCTGAGCTAGAAACTGAGGACACATCATCCGTGGTGGATTCTCGGGATCTCCGTCAAGCAAGACGGCGGAAGCGTGACTCGCCTGGGCATGATGGTAAGAAGCTCAAAAAACCGAAAGGGCCAGGGACAGCCCTACCGGACAAGTTATCTGACCGTTTTGAGACCGTGGAGAATAGGAAGAAATCTAACAAAACTTCAAAGACGTTACCAAATACTCCCCGGAGTAGTAGGAGAATGGGCAGATCAGCATCCAGATCCGATGCATCGATCATTCGCCCAAATGATAAGGTGAAGTATGCCGAGATTCTAACGAAGGTTAAGAAGGATATTCCTCCTGATCAGGTGCTGGGGTGCGGTGATAAGATACGCAAAACAGCCACAGGGGACATGCTCATCGTCTTGACCAAAGACAGTGCTAGCAAAGCGCGGGTATTGCAATCCTCCATAGCTGGTCTCCTCGGGGAAGACGCTGAGGTTCTTAGCAAGGGCCCTCAGGAGAATATCGAGATCAAAGACCGCGATGATATGACAACGAAGGAGCAAATTTTGAAAGCCCTATGCAAAGCAGCGGGCAACGAGGTGCAGATGACACAGGATGCCATAAAATCCTTGCGAAAAGCCTACGGAGGGACACAGACGGCGTTGGTGACACTGCCTGTGCTCGTGGCGAAGAAGATCTTGGGGGACCATGGCAAAATCCGGATACCCTCGGTTAATTGCAGAGTGAGAAGAGTAGAGAAACCAGTTAAGTGCTTCAAGTGCTGGCACTACGGGCACCTCGCCACGAAGTGCACGAGTACAGTCGATCGCTCCAAACTCTGCGTCAAATGCTCAGCGACCGGCCACAAGGCTCTAGACTGCACGGAGTAGCCACAATGCGCCTTATGCACGGAGAATGGCAACATGGAGTATTGTGCCCACATTGCTGGTAGCAGTAGATGCCCAGTGTATAAGGAGGCACTACAGAGGGTTCTCAATAAGCGAAGATGAAAATACTCTAACTCAACCTCAACCATTGTGAGGTCACGCATAACCTGGTTATGCAGACGCCGCGTGAGTTGAAGCCTGATCTTGTTATAATCTCAGAGCTATATGGTCTCCTGGACGCTCAACCCTGGGTCACTGATGCGAGCACGAAGGTGGTAATCTGGGCTTGTGGCAAACGGCTATAAAAGCACCCACGGACAAGTGTTTCAAGGACAAGTATTTATAATAGTGTTAAGTGAAACTATTTATCACTGGTAAAGAAAACGTCTTTGGAATACCGAAGGAGCCACAATATAAAGTTCTCAACATAAGTAGTGAGTAGAAAAAAAAATGAACAATTTGAATTGAAATTTGATCAAACTGCCTAAATCTCCGAGAGAAACCCTCCAAGCAAAATTCTGTTTTAACAAATAAAAAACATTTAATCGACTTAAAATCTTTGTCATGTACACCAGATAAAAAGAAATAAATGCAATTCCGTTAAATTAGAAATATATCTCGGAATCTTTTCCTTATTTTCCTCCCATTCTTGGAAAACTCCTCGAACCCCCTTTGCAAAAAGTCAATAAAATTACGAAATCAGGTAAGAGCTGTGAACGAAACTTAGCGTCGTCCAAATAAATTAAATTAACGGTAAATATAAAATTAAAATTTCTAAACTGGAGTTTAATTATTAATTATTTGCTAAAAAGAGTTCTAGCCCCATGTCACCGGAATTCCAAATAAAATTCATAAAGTTGTCCTTCGACGCTGATAACGTCTCCGGACATAACAGAACAAACATCCGTAGCTCATAGAAATGTGTTAGCCGAATGAACAATTTAATATACCTTTTATTCTGTTGCTGCTTTTATTCACATCCCTGAACACCAACAACTACGGAAGTGGAAAACAGCAATGACCTTCTCCAACTAAATTATGATAATAAATTAACGATTAATTATTATTATTATTTTTATTTATTTCTGCATTTTGAATACAGCCCCATCGCAGGGGGGATTTTCAGATACATAGTATTGCATAAGAGTAAACAATAAGAGTAAGAGTAAAGTAGTATAAATTGGATTTTAGAGAAATTCAAAAACAGAGGATTTCGGAAAATAGGGTAAAACTTAACGGTGCAGTTCATTGGGCATAATTAAAAAAAAATGAAATCAGAAGGTGCGCCAAGTTTGTAAATTATAGCTGGTTAAACAATCAACTCACTATATTGAAGAACTGAAAACATGTGTGAAGGAATGAACACAATTTTCCTTAGCATTCTTCTTGAATTGCCAGCATATTTTTCGAGTTCAAGAGTTGATGCTTATGACAAGCAACTGAACATTCCAAATTCTTATGAGTTGCGGTCGGGAGCAACCTATGCAAGTTATGGTTTTCCTCAATGAAACTCCGTACCAAAAAGGAGTTGAAAATGAATGCATTCTGAAAAAAAAAAGGTCAGAAAAGTTGCCAGAATCAACGTACTTGGCGCGGTTTTCCGGTTCAGCATTACCTGGTGTTCAGTCTTCCAATTTCATTGGTACAGAACTCGTAAAAATGACATGTACATGTATATATATACAGGGTATTTCAGAAGTACATGTACATCTGAACACCCTAGGATCAGGGGGTGATTCTGAGCAGAAAAGTCCTCTTGCACTTTTTGATCAGACTCACCACTAAAAAGTTATTGGCAATTAAGGGTGGGCCAATGGGGAGTGATTTTTAAGCGGGCGCACATCCATGTGATATGCAGCATATGTGTGTGTGCCCGTCCCACCATTCTACGAGACAAAAGAGCGCAACGATATTGCTCTCTCTCTCTCTCTCTCTCTCTCTCTCTCTCTCTCTCTCTCTCTCT